CTGGATGTAGGTTCTCCCATTTATGTTGTTGGCACGTGGAGCAGTTGTTGATGAAGTCCCGGATAGAAGTTTTCATTCCTGGCCAATGGAAATCCGCTTGGACACGATGCAGTGTCTTTTGGATGCCTTTGTGAGTGGAGTTATGTATACCGGAGATGACTGCGGGGATTGAGGAAGAATCGACCGGGAGGCATATACGTCCTTTGTAAAGTACTAGCCCGTCGTGAATGGACCAATTGGAGTCGGTTTTCCCGGACTGTATCTTCTGAACAAGGTCTGTCCACTCCGGTGATTGTGGCAGTGTGTTCCGAATGTCTTCCAGTAGGGTGACTTGGGGTTGTGAGATCGCATGAAGGAGCATATTGTCTTCTTCCCGGTGAGACAAGGCATCTGCGGCTCGGTTTAAGGATCCCGCCTTGTAGTCCACCCGAAAATCAAAACCAAGCAGTTTGCTGACCCAATGCTGTTGCGGCGAAGTGGTAAGCCGTTGTTCCAACAAATATTTGAGGCTATAGTGGTCCGTCTTGACGACGAAGGACCTTCCCCATAAGTATGGCCTCCAGTGTTGCACTGCCTTGGTCAACCCAATCAGTTCGCGTTCGTAGGTGGGTAATTTAAGATGGCGGTCAGCCAGTTTGCGGCTGAAGAAGGCGACCGGGTGCCCTTGTTGCTGTAGTATGGCACCTATGCCGGTGTCGGATGCATCGCATTTGACTGTGAACTCGAGGTCAAAGTTTGGCAACTACGGGACTGGTGTGGAGGAGAGGGCTTCTCTTAAACTCGCAAAGGCTGCATCGGCTGCATTATCCCAATGGAAGGCATTTTTCTTGAGCAGATTGGTTAGTGGGGCCGCCAAAAGTTCATAATTTTGTACAAACTTGCGGTAGTAACCCGTCAACCCTAGGAACCCGCGGAGAGCCTTGGCGGATTGTGGTTTGGGCCATTCTTTGATAGCCTGAATCTTGGAGTCATCCACCGTGACCCCTTGCCCGCTGATCACATGTCCTAAGTAAAGAACCCGATGTTCCCCAAAGGAGCATTTGGATCGCTTAAGGAAGAGTTTGTGTTGGTGCAGGAGTTCAAAAATGGTCCGCAGATGTTGTACGTGTTCTACCCACGACTTGCTGTAAACTAGGATGTCATAAAAAAATACTAAGACAAATCTGCGGAGGTGGGATTGAAATACCTCGTTCATTAGAGACTGGAACGTGGAAGGAGCGTTTGTGAGGCCGAATGGCATAACTAGGAATTCAAAATGGCCATGATGTGTTCTGAAGTTCTCCACATCTTCGAAAGTCATCCGGACCTGGAAGTAACCTGACCGGAGGTCTAATTTTGAGAAGTATTGGGCGCCATGGAGTTCATCCAATAGCTCATTTACGACGGGGATAGGAAATTTATCCTTGACTGTCTGGTTGTTAAGCTCTCTGTAGTCCACA